ACCCTCTTTCCTGGGAGAGGGGAGTGGTACTTCTCTTCTCTGTCCTCTTCTCTCTTCAGAGCTCATTCTCGAATGCTTTTTTTTTTTTTTTTTTTTGGCCTTCTGAGGATTTTTTTTTTGGAAAATGCGGAACTCAGACACTCCACTCATTGAACAGAGGGAGAAGGTCAGTTGAGGTGACAGATGGTAGATATTCCGGGAAGAGGAAGAACGGGATTGTGGAGAAAGAGGCAAAGGGCCGCTCTCTGGCCTGGACAGGCTTCTCCATGTTTGGGGGCTCTAGTCTAGAGAGGGGGTGACAGGCTGCCTGGTGCTCTGTCTTAGGCTCTGGGTGGGTTCATCCAGACTTCTGGACATGGATGAGATTTCAGTATCAGCTCTTTAGTCCATCACTTCTCTGGCCATGACAACCCAAAGTTCTGGACAAACTCCCGACACACACACACACATGCCTGCTCGCCTCTACTGGGTCATGTTATCCTGGGGGAGTCAGCCAGAAGAATATCTGACCTGAACAGCACATGCGCATGTTGCATGTGTCCCCCTCTCTCTCTTGGGGAAGATTGGTGGCTTAAGATTTACTAGAATTAGGACTAACACCCATGCTAACACGTTCAGTAGGTGATAAAAATATTACTTCAGTCAGTACTAACTGCATGTCTGTCTAATGCTTGTGTTCCCCCTTCACGTGATTACTATCTCCTGGGCAAGGTAACGGCCAACAGGGGTGCCTCTTAGGGAATCAGCAGTAGATCCAGGCTGGCTCTAGCTTATTTAATATGCTGACGTCAACGTAGTGGGCGGTGACAGGAAGGACCTCACACCCAGGCTCATTGAACAAGAGTGCTGTGCTGAACTTAGCAGGGTGTTGCCACCATGGGGACTCCCTGGATGGAGATGAAATGGGAAATGTAGCCGGACGTCAGGGGGTCTGTGACTCCTGTGAGGACCTAAGTGGAGCTCAGGCAGCAGGGCCCTGCCAAGAGAGCACAGAGCTCTACCAGTTTCAGCATCCGGGTCTTTAGGGAGGATGCAGAGGACCCAGAGAATGGTACAGGGACCTGTGCCTATGAATCATGTGGGTCAAGCCACCCCAAGTAAAGTAAACTCCAGGTAAAGTAAACTCTTCCTCGAGGGGCCACCTTGGAGAGAAATGGGAGAGTGGCGGGGGTGGGGGTGCTGCAAGATCGAAATATCTAGGAGACTGTGTAAATTATTGGATTGGATGATGTTCAATTTTCCATCCCTACATAGTATAGTGAAGGGTCAGGAAAAAGATTAGAGCAATTATAGAAAATAATGAAGCTATATTTTCTTTGTGTCACTAAATGTAGGGTAATTTTGAACTTGCTAAAATTGTCTTTGCCCCGCATCTGTTCACCGATGCTTGCGTGCGCGGGGAGCACAAGTGCGTGCTTGCGTGTGCACACACACCTCCACACACAGCACTTCTACAGGTTTTCCCTGCCACCACCTCCCCCCAAGAATCTATACTCACAAAAGCACTAATGAGAAACATAGACTTCACTGAGGATTTCAAGGAGAGATGGAGAAGATCTCATTGCATCCTCTCCAGCAAACAGGGTCATCATAATCCCCCTTCAATACTTGACTTCCAATCTGAGATGCACCGTTTTCAAATGTGAATATTTGTTATCTCTGAACCAGAATCTGTCTTACTGTGATAGTGTGTCATAGTATAATATAAAATAGTAAATATCATAGCCATTCTCATGGTGATACCTAAAATAATGGCGGGTCTTACACTGGCACCTTCTTATATTTGATGAAATCCCTGTAGCTTTCTGCTTTGTCGTCCTTCCTCAGCTGTGCGCAGAGGCTTACTCACTGAGGCAGTTGCAGAGTGGGTTCAAAGCAGATTCTAGCATCAGACTGTTGCTCACTAGCTCCAACCGTTCACTAACCAAGTGACCTTGGGCAACTTACTGAACCCCTCTGGACCTTTGTTTCCCCATCTGTGAAATGGGAATAATATTACTGACTCCTTCTTAGGGTTGTTGTAAGAGTTAAATGAGTGATACATAGAGAGAGATTGGAACAGTGCCAGGTAGAGGTAAACACTAGATAGTCTTAGAGTTATTCCTCTTAGTCCGCTCCCATATGGGCCCAGCCTCCGTGTTAAGCTGTTGCCTTTTTCTTCATAACTTATTTTATGAATCGTAGTTCAGTGACCACTGTTTGCTCTCTGAACAAACCTAGAGATCTTGTCTGGCCTCCCCAGCTGGCTTACTTAAATATTTCCTCCAAACAGATCTGTTTTCTCTTTCAAGGAGTTCTGAGAGATAAAAATTGCTGTATTTGAATCACTACTTCTGAGGCATCTATGGTAGATGCAAGAGATGGTGGGATATGAGCCTGACTGGAGTGGACTGTGTTCATTGGGGAGCATTAGGGGATATGACAGGCAAGATAGGTTGGAGCCAGATGGCCCCTTAAAGGATCAGGAGGCTATTTCTTCAGCGCATCTCCCCACATCCATCTTCTTATATTTCATCAAATATAAGAAGGCACTGACCAGCCCATATAGGGTGGAGTGGGCTTCCACACTCCCTTCAAAGCACTCCATAGGGACGGCGGCTGCTTCTTCCCCTCATATAAGGTTGGCTCTAGAAGACAAGTTGGTGGATGGGAACTGAGAGAGTAATTGGGCTTAAGTCAGAAGTGGAGATTCAGAAACAAAATTTTATTTTATTTTTTAAAAGATTTTATTTATTTATTTGACAGAGAGAGAGAGCACAAGTAGGCAGAGTGGCAGGCAGAGAAGGAAGGAAAAGCAGGCTCCGCAATGAGCAAGGAGCCCGATGCGGGACTCGATTCCAGGATCCCAGGATCATGACCTGAGCCAAAGGCAGATGCTTAACCGACTGAGCCACTCAGGCGCCCCCAGAAATAAAGTTTTAGATACAGAAGCCTTCAATAAATACAGACAAAGACAAAGAGACACCCAGCACATCTGAGTCCAAGGCGTGTCAGAGGCCTGAATGTTCTCCTAAGATCTCCCAGACCCTCGGTGCCAGGGTTTGAAAGGCTGCAGCCCTGGTTTTCTCTTCAGTGAGGCTGGACAAGATAATCAACTCTAGCAAATGGGAAATTTCCACTGTGTGGGGTTAGCACTTTCAGCTTCAGAAATCAAACACACTGAAAGCAGAGTGTGTCTTGGCAAAGGGTGACCAACCGACCTCCCCTGGTCAGTTCTCTACCCTGTTAGTTCATCTTGCTGGTGACCTTGTCTAGAACAAATAGCTTCTAGCTGGTCACCTCTGGAACAAAGGAGTGTTGAATGGGGATTAAAAAAATATCTGGGGGGTTTCTTTTTGGGAGGGTTTAATGAGTCAATGCTTTGTTTTACCATGAATGTTTATAACCAAACCTAAATGTGCGTGGGGTCTTGAATCTCCTCCCACAACTATTTCCTATTTGTTCCCAGAAAAATTCCAGTGCCAGATTTCATCATAGCAACCAGAGGCAAATATCAAGGCAGCAATAAGGAGCAAACTCGGGAAAGGGTTTCGCTCCAACGTGGCTTGAGTCCCTGTAGGGCACCCAGTATCTGCACGAAGATAATTTGAGAGTCGCAGTGTTGGCCCCGCGGTTCCTTGTGGGGGAATCTAGCAGAGTCCAGCTTTGCCAACTTCCAGGACCCACCAGGAAATGCACCTCTCAGTTTGCTGGGCCAGGTACGGAAAGACTGACTTACTAGCTCCTCAAGGCTTTGTACCTGTTGTGTGTTGATCTTTATTTTTGTATGTCAAGTTTTCGCAATTAAATGTCTTGAATTATTCCATCATGCATTTCCTGTGAGGATTTTAATAAACAAGCATATGGTTTATGTCCTAAATTGTCGCCTCAAATGCTTTCTGGAAGAAGGCAGGGTGTGTATGAAGAAGCAAGCAAAACAAGACAGGAGAGGCTTCTAACACCTGCTCACGGTGTACCTTTGTTGTTGTCATGGCGGCGCTATGAGGTCAGACTCCTTGCCCGTAGGGAAAATCATCTCTAGTTTTGCCAAAATGCAGCCTTCTTGCTGAAAGCACTTTTGAGTTTTGAGTCAGTTTTATCAGGTGTTGGTTCCGAGTAGTGGTGTGTTGGCAGCTGTTTAAGCTGGCTCTCTGAAATAGAATTGCCTTGCTTTGTAGAGTGTGCTGATGTCTGTGGTGTAAATACTCCCCCCTTGGCCAACTTCAAGCTGCTAAAGTTATCTTATGAATGAGGAACTGGAAAGAGATGCACACAGTTGACTCTGGGGAGCTGGCTGCACTGTAGTACTGATTCTACGGACTGCACCAGGGCTTCGCGACCTTGGTACAATGACACTTTGGGCCAGATAATTCTTGGTTGTCGGTGGCTGTCCTGTGTATTGCAGGATGTTTAGCAGCATCTCTGGCTTCTATCTATTAGAGGATAAAAGGAGCCCCTTTCCGCCCCCAGTTATGACAAAAATGGCTCCAGACATTGCCAAATGTACCCCGAAGGGCAAAATCAGCCCCCAGCTCTGGGCCCGTCTGCATAGATGGTGTTTAGAAGGTCCATTCAGCAGATCGTAGGCTTTTACCAACTTTCTCCGTTGCACCTGAAGAGGTTCTCTCCTGGCATTTTGGAAGTGATTTTTTTTAAAAATCAGATTATACTTCTTGAGGAGTCTTAAGAATAGTGATGTCATGAAGAATTAAGGCACCAAGACAAAGCGTGGTCACTAGGGGAGAATCAAGATAATTCCACGGACTGGATTCCAGAACAGAATAGATACTTAAAATGGACGATAGAGGTCCCCTGGTCCAGGCTTTACTTGGTATGGATGAGAAATGAGACTCAGAGGTGAAGAGTGACCTGTCCAAGGGCACAAAGCAAGCACAAAGTAGATGTGCTTGGGAGAGTCACTGGGTGATGTGGTAAATGCCTCTGTGACATATTGGGAATTGGGACTGACGCCATATTGCAGCTATGAGTGTTTTGTAGGCTTCACAATGTTAGGTTTTCATGGCCATATTTGACATCCTCCTGCTCCAAACCTCCCCCTGCCCCGAAATGTCTGCTCATGAAAGCCACATTACAATGAGGGACTTCTGTTTCAGGCAGAATGATTCCCATCAGCTTCAGAAGTGAGTATTTGGTTCAAATGTTCTATGCAGGAGGGTCAGGCTGCTTGCCATTAGAGAACAAATGTTGAAGATTGTTGCTGATTTCTCTCTCCTTCCTTCCACATTTGCACTGGGCCCTCTCCTTGATGAAGTATCTCACGCCATCCTCAAAGCGATTTAAGGAAAGGACATATGGGAGAAAGGGACGTCCAGTAAAAAAGTTAAGACCACAAGATTAATGTGATAAGAGCTGAGAAAGTCCCTCCTAGTTAGCTTTGAAAATGTGTTTTCAATGCACAGAGGTGCCCAGTCAGAAAGGGAGTATTGGGGAGGGATGATTTTCATCAGCGGAGTTGCTTGGCTTTGGAACTTCCAGTGAAATTAAGGCAATCATATACTAGGAAGTCAGTATGCTTCAAGTGCCAATAAATTGAGCTTAATGAGGACAGCAAGTCTGCCTTTATTAGGAGATTGAATAAAAGTGAAAGGAGTGCTTTGAATCATGGATCTTTAAAAACACATTGATATTTGAAAAGAATTAAGATTTGGTGATCATGTATGGAATAATTCATCGCTTGACTCCAGATTAGTTTTTTACAATATGATGTACTGGTTCTCGAGAAAATTTCCCATAACCAAAGTTTACTGTCATCACCTCATGCATCTCACATTGGCCTTTGTCGTACCCCCACTAGGTCCATGGTGATCATGCAAACCAACCCCTTGGGGTTACCTTATATTGGTCCTCTGAGACTCTCTGGGCAATGTGGGCCATTTGGATTTTTGCTTTCTTTTCCCAGAGGACAATTCAGTCTCAGCATCTGAATCTAAAAGGGTCAATAATACAGGAGTGTTAGCAGTGGGTTAGGGTAAGAGGAGGAGGTGTTTTGGGTTGTGGGCAGCATTGGATACAACTCTGCTCAGGGCTCTTTAGGCCACACAGCTCCCCCGGAAAGGCCTCATGGGTGATGGGAAATTTTTTTCTTTCTTTGGCATGGATTGTGAATTGATCTAATCTTGTTACTTTTTAAGAAGCTATCTATTCAGCAACTGGTGATTTTTTTTTTTTTTAAAAGCGGTTAATACTTTATTGTATAGTCTTTTGGAAATATTTTATGCATACATTGTCAGGAACTTTTCAAAAGGCTCATTATACATCTCGCCAGATTACTGTCCAGAGGAACATGCCAATATACACTCCTACCTACTATGGGAACACCTTGATTATTGTAATTAAAAAGTCAATATGTTGGGCAGTAATATCTCACTTTTTATTAGGATTAATATAACTCTAATGAGGTTGATTACCATTTGCATGTTGATTTTTTTTATTAGGACTTTATATTTTTAGACAAGTTTTAGGTTCACAAAAAAATTGACAGGCAGGTACAGAGATTTCGCATACACCCCCATTCCAAAACATGCATAGCCTCCCCCATTGCCAACATCTCCTATTAGAGTGGTTATTTGTTACAATTGATGTACCTACGTTGACGCATCATCATCACTCAGGATCTATAGTTTACAGTTTGTTCTTGGTGTTGCATAATCTATAGATTTGGACAAATGTATAATGACATGTACCCATCATTATGGTATCATATAGAGCATCTTCACTGCCATAAAAATTCTCTGTGCTCTGCCTATTCATCTGTCTCTTTCCCTCCCAAACCCTGGCAACCACTGTTTTTTATGATTTTTTTTCTCAAAGTGGAAAAGGTAGTAGCAATGGCTTTCAGTTCTAAGGAAATGTCCTATTAACCTTCATAAGCCCTAAGAAGTAGGGGGTGCAAAGTTGAGGAGAAAAGAGAGTAAAGAATTTGATGTATAGTATTTGCCCTTGAGCCAACATTTAACACTTCCAGAGCTTAACACTGCACTTTTGCAATGTTACCCGTGCTACAAGAGTATTACCAAGAGATGTGAAGACATGAACAATCTTGGTCATTGGAAACAGCAGTTCAAAATAGCTGTCTCGCTAGACTATTCCTTCTAAAGATTCATTTGTGCCGGCTTCTTGTCTTTGTCATATGATCCTTCTTGGCTCTGCAACACAGATGTGAAAAGTGAAGAGAGCATGCCTTTGGATTTCATTTCTAAAAGTGGAAAATATACAATGAACTCTGGGACTTTTAAACTATTAATACTATTCCTCATATGTATTCATAGCCATACGCAGAAATAAATTTAAAGGATGGTGTGTACATGTACATGGCTTCTCACTATAAAATGGTTAAAACTGATGGGCTTCAAGCTGGGTTTTGGGGGTTGACTGGACCCATGGGCTGGGATCTGGTCCTCAGTTGTAGACTGAATTGCTTGCTTTAGTCCATTTGTTGAGAACTAAATCAGATGTTGGGGGAGCCAATCACCCCATCTACACCCATAAGCCTATTTTATTCATCAGAACAGTTTACTGGACTTTGAGCCCCTTGGGGACAGAACTCATAGCTTATTTTGTAACCTCAGTGCCTAGCATAGTGCCAGGCATGTAATAGGTTCTTTTTTTTAAATTATCTTATAGCTTTATTGAAGTATAAGTGATGTAGAATTAACTGCACATTTTTAAAGTTTTCCATTTGATGAGTTTTGATATATATATATATATATACCCATGAAACCATCACCACAATCAAGATAATGAACATATCCATTGCTCCCAAAGCTTTCTTTGCAATTCTTCTTCTCTTCCTCCCACTGTTTCCAGACAACCAAGTTTTTTCTTTCCATCACTCTAGATTAGTTTGCATTTTCTAGAATTATATGTATATGGAATCATATAACATGTACTCTATTTTTTGTGGTCTGGCTCTTTTCAATCAGCATAATCATTTTGAGATTCATTGATGTTGTTCCATATATTAATAACTTGATCCTTTTTATTGCTGAATAGTATTCCATTATATGAATCATAATAGGTACTTAACAAATGTTTGTGGCATTACATTGACTTGAAAATTAATTTTTAAAAATATAATTGGGGGAAGAGTGGATAATGGGGATATCACTATTTTTGTTGAATAGGTCCATTTAGGAAGTTAAAATAGAAATCAGGAGGTGAGTTGGCATAGTAGAGACTTTTATTGTCATCCATTATCTGTTCTCCCTTCTTTCATAGTGATGGACTGCCTGATTTGGCTGGGTACAGAACTGTCTGGAGTAAAGACTATATTTCCCAGTCTTCTGTGCAACTAAGTGTGGCCATATTACTAAGTTATGACCAATATGATGAAAACAGAAGGGGTATGTGAAACTTGAAAAAATCTTCTGAAAGGAAGGGGAATTTCCTTCTCTTCTTCTTCCTCCTGCCTGCTGTCTAGCACACAGTCATAATGTCTAGAGCTCTAGCAGCCATTTTGGGTCAGAAGGGGTCTTGAAAACAGAAGCCACTCAAGGCTGAGCAACAGGTCAATGAAGCCTGGATCCCTGAAATCACGGAGTGCTGTGTCTGCCCTGGGCTAACTACCTCCAGAATGTGAGAGAGAAATACATTTTGATCTTGTTTAAGCTTTTAAAAGTCTCTTTTGTGTTTTACTTTTTTTGCAGCCAAAACAGTCCTAACTGCTACAGTTAGTAAGGATAGAGTTTGAACAAGAGGGAGTTTGATGTTGCTGAAAGGTCATTTATGTCATGCTAATGTGCCCATCTTCACTCAAAGGATTTTTCTGAGTAGAAACATGGCCTCAGCTGTTGGACTCTCTTTTGGTGAGTTCTAGAAAAACTCTTATGAATGATTGTGAACAATTCTCCTTTTCCCAACTGTGCAACTCACTCCCATCAATATGTATCCACGGTTAACAGTTTAGACTTCTCAAAAGTATAACTCATTTTACATTTATTTACTTTTAACTTGGTGGATCTCCAGTGAGACATGAGGTTAGCCTAATCTCATTAATTTTTTTTTTTTTTTTACAAATCCTATGTATGGTGGGCGCCTGGGTGGCTCAGATGGTTAAGCATCTGCCTTTGGCTCAGGTCGTGATCCCAGGGTCCTGGGATCGAGTCCCGCATCGGGCTCCCTGCTCCTTGGGAGCCTGCTTCTCCCTCTGCCTCTCTATCTCTCTGTCCCTCATGAATAAATAAATAAAATCTTAAAAACAAAACAAAACAAATCATACGTATGGTGGCACATTTGAAAATGCTTTATATAGATGTCTCATCTCATTTATCATATATGAATTCTTGTTATGTTTAATTCCCAGTGATGGTTTGGCTTGTGACTCTTTTTTTTTAAATATTTGAGATACTTCAAACTTACGGAGAAGAGTGTGTGTCCAGATGTCATCTGTGACTCTGGAGAACAGAAGCTGTCAGTTTATTTATTGCCTTAGCAGTGGAAGCTTTTCTTCAAACAGTGCTGTATGCAGAACTTCATTACATCAAACCTCTAACAGAGTTTCTCTGGTTGAAGTAGGAGTGGAGGACTTGGAGCCCTACTGGGTAAACGTCCCTCTGGCCGGTCCCCTCCCCCCACCATGGGGGCCCCTGCGATGTGCTCACAGAGCAGGAAGGACCTGTGCAGGTGGCTGAAATCCACAGATTTAGAACATGTTCAAGATCCAGAAAGCAAGCTCAATGTTATTCGGATCTCTGTGCTCTTATTCTACCACACTTAGAGCAAGCTGTGTAATCTGGTTGCCCAGTCACAGAAGTGTAGAAGAAGAACTCAGAGGGGAAGACCGCTAGCCAGACATGACCGTGGATAACAGTGAGACCAACGAGAGGAGGCAAGGATGTTTTCTGTTTTATTTTTTTTAAGATTTTGTTTATTTATTTGAGAGAGAGGGAGAGAGAGCATGAGAGGGGTAGGATCACAGGGAGAAGCAGGCTCCCCGCTGAGCAGGGAGCTTGACATGGGACTCGATCCTGGGTCTCCAGGATCATGACCTGCGTCAAAGGCTGTCACCCAACCACCCAGGTGCCTGGCAAAGATGTCTTAAAAAGACAAACACAAGGCATTAAAAAACCACCTTCTGAGGTCATTTGGGGTAAATGTCATCTTCCTAATATGTTCCAGTGGGTCACAGAGGCATGGTTTTATATATTTATATGTGTGTGTGTGTGTGTATTTATATATATTTAGTGGGAGTGGGTGTAGAGTAGTATAGAGTATATCCTATGTGTATATATATATACAGTGTTTTGTTTAGTGTTTATGAAAATGACCCGGAGAAATAAAGTCTCCCTTATCTTTTATATTTTACATTTGTTTTATAGTAACAACAGTACTACTCATTGAGATGATTATTATGTGCCAGGTACATGAGTGTTTTATCTAGTTGATTTATTTAACCCTTACCACTATTTTATGAAGTAGGGATGGTCCCCAGAGGCACAGAAAAGTTAGTTCCCTTGCCCCATGTCACACAGTGAGTGTGTGGTGGAGCTGGGATTCAAACCCAGGCATCTTGGCCCCAGGGCCCATGCTCTTAATATGTGCCCATATCTTAGGAGAATTTAAACAATAAAGTGCAAACATCTTGTAGCTAGTGAGTTTTTCAGTTGTCTAGAAAACCCATTTATCCAATTCGTGGAAAACTTGTCCTCCAACAATCCTGGGTAAATGAAAGAACAAATTAAACGGAAACAGGAGTGCAGGCCTCCTCATGTCGTATCTCAAGCATTCCCTCTGCCGTGGGGTTTTTCAGAGGCCCACAGAGAAGCAGACCAACCTGAGCAGGTCTGAGTCACCAGGAAATACCCCAGGGCAGACTTGACAATGGAAATGAAACCCGTGGACCCAACCACCTGCATGCTGGTTGTGTTTGGTTTACAATATTGTCATCTTCCTAGTGGCTCAAGAGGTATTTTGAGGTTGACGTAGAGACTACTGTGTTTTTTAGAGGCATTTCCTTTCTGGCCTATGTTTATATATTGTGGTGGAAGAATCAGAGGCCTCCAGCTTCAAAAGTGAATCCTGTTTCAAGTTATGAAAGTGCCAGGATGTGGGGTGCAGGTCAGCACGTGCACCTCAGGTGCTGGGATGGGCCTGACTTTGCATCCAGCCTCAGTTGCTGTTCTTTGTGCTCTGGGTACAGAAATTGCCTTGGCTCTTCTTGTTGTTAAGTCTGTAGGGGTGGACTTATCCCATCTTTCTGGAATGAAACACCAGTTCAGGGGAACTTCTGCTTATAAAGGTCTATCCATCCCTAAGGAGACCCAGGAGCGTATTTTCTCATATGGCTGCTACCCTAGTCGGTGCAGGCTGCTATAACAAGATGAGCCAGTGGCTTAACCAACAAACATTTGTTTCTCACAGTTCCGGAGGTGACAAGTCAGGTCAGAGTGGCAGCATGGTTGGGTTTTAGCAAGGGCCCTCTTCCCGGTTTATAGATGGCTGCCTTCTTACTGTAGCCTCGCATGGCAGAAAGATCATTTCTCTCATGTTTCCTTTTATAAGGGCACTAATCCTGCCATGAGGGCTCCACCCTTGTGACTTAATTACCTCTCAAAGATCCCACCTCCAAATACCATCATGCTGAAGATTAGGGCTTGCAGTATAGAATTTTGAGGGTACACAAACATTCAGTCCATCGCAGCTACAGTGTTAATTTATGATACATTTTCCCCCTTGGTGTTATTTTCATGGTTGCTGTAAATAGCTGAGTCATATGCAGCATATCTCACACACACACGTACACATGGTCCATCATCCAGGCTTTAACGAAACTCATTTTTGGGTGCCTGGGTGGCTCAGTCAGTTAAGCATCTGCCTTCGGCTCAGATCATGATCCCGGGGTCTTGGGATTGAGTCAGGTTTCCTGCTCACTGGGGAGTTTGCTTCTCTCTCTCTCCCTCTACCCTTCTCCCCTGCTCGTGCTCTCTCGCTCTCACGCTCTCTCTCAAATAAATAAATAAATAAATATCTTTTAAAAAATAAAGCAATTAATTTTTTTCTTTTTGTTTTAAGAAGATAAATAAAAATAAAGCAAATAAAAATGCTCAGCACATTTGCTTAACTGTTAGCAAAATCAAATTTCTGGTAATGTTAATCACACCATATTCTTTCAAGCCAATCCCACTTAATCACCCCTTCCCCACACTTGCTGCCTATTTATCTCACCAATCACCTATTTATCTCATAAATCCCAGTTTCTGTGTGGCCACTTTTGTACTATTGCTTAACACCGAACACCGAACATAGCTCTATTACAGAATATATCTCATGAAGTAGTTAATTACTTGTTGCATACCCACGGCCCTTGTCAGGGTATGAGTTTCATGAAGGTAGGGTTCATAACTTATGTAGCACCATACTCTTGTACAGGTGTGCAGAGTTCTTAGATTCCCCAGGCCCCTAAGCTTCCCACCTTCCTGGTATACACACGTTATATAATTCCCCCTCCTTGAATGTGAATGGGACCTGTGAATATGAAGGATGTCACTCCCCTGATTAGGTTACCTTATGTGGCTAAGGAAAGGGATTTTGCAGATATAATGAAGTTTCCAAATCAGTTGATTTTGGATTAACCCTAATAGAGAGTATGCTGTTGGGCCTGCCTTAATCAGGTGAAAAGGCCTTTAAGCCAGCCTAGACCTTCCCAAAGGAAAAGAGTCCTCTGCTGGCTTCGAAGAAACAAACATCCATGTTTTAAGAACATGGGCCCACAAGGCAAGGACTTGAGGAGTTGAGCGCAGTTCATGGCGAACAGCTATCAAGAATACGGGGAGCTCAGCCATATAGCCACAAGGAAGTGAATTCTGCCAACAAGTCAAATGAACTTGGAAGTTGATTTTTCCTCAGTCAAGCCTCTGGATGGGAATGTAGCCCGGCTGACACCTTAATTGCAACCTTATGAAAGCCTGAGCAGAGACCCAGTTTAGCCATGCCCAGGCTCCTGACCCATGGAAACTATGAAATAGTAAATGTATGTTGTTTTAAGCCACTGAAGTTGTGGTAATTTGTTATGCAACAATAGAAAACTAATACAGTAGGCATTTCTTAAATGTTTATTGAATTTAATTTAATCAGGGGAATAGAACATTTAAAGTGAATCTCTGCTAAACTTTTGGCCGATTTTTAAGAATGGAGACATCTTAAAGAATTGGTGTCTTCTTAATGGGTCTTCTGCCCATCCAATCAACTTCACACACGTCCAGGGTTTTCATATATACCAACTTCTGATCGTCTGGAAATAGGAAGTGAGATTCTCCCCAGGCATTGTTCGGCATTCTTGGGAGATAGAATGGCTAAAAACTGATGTTGAAATGAGACCACCATCATTTTTCAGTCTGCTCACTATGTACAGAGCTCAGGATGATTAGGAAATGTAAAACACATGTGAATGGCTCAGACCCCCTTTAGTTAAATCACATTTACATAGATCAGTTTTCCCAAAGGACATAAGTGAGCTGAATTTAAGCAATTAAAAAAAAAACAAACCCCAAACTAGAACCTTTTGCTAAAGCCAAAAAACATGGATGAGTTAAACCATATCAGATGTAATGGTTTGTTTTGAGAAGTGTTTGGTCTGTTGTCTATATGTGTGCGTGTTTTGTTAAGGCAGTTGGAAAAACAGACCTTGCAAGATCTTTGCCTGACAAGGTAGAAACCCAGTATACAGGGTTTAGTTCCACCAAAGCCGTTGATACCATCAGGATCACCGGTGACCCGGGGCAGGGACGTGCTGCTGGCTCTCCATTACATTCCAGAGCCACTCTAGAGGCCATGGCAACAGAGGGACTGTGACTGTGGCTCAAAACAA